CGGAGCCGGCGCCTGCGAGCTCCCTGCTGAGCAGCCCCGGGCCTTGCAGCCGATCTCGCCGTCGGTGCTGGGAAGGTCGAGGCTTTGGGAATAATTCTCTTTTTCTGTAGGATGGCATAGTCCTCGGAGCAGATACGAGAGCAACTGAAGGAATGGTTGTTGCTGACAAGAACTGTTCAAAAATACACTTCATTTCTCCTAATATCTAGTAAGTATTAACATTGTTTATTGTGTAATGTATTGGTAATAGTATTGGGATTTTTAGCCGTGTCCTTTGCTAAGAGCAAATATTAAGGTGTACTTTAAAATGATAATGTATTAGCCAGACTTGGGGACTTCTGGTATTTCATTTACACTTAAACAGGCTATCTTGTTTCATGCTCTGAAAATATTGACTGTATGAGAGCTTTATTTCCTCAATTCTACAGTGAGAAAATTTCTACTTGTTGGATAAAACACAGGGTTATTTGTTTCCCCTGTCCTCCCCATCTTTTCCTAATTTGCTCTTAATATTTTTCAGTTGTTGCGGTGCTGGGACAGCTGCAGATACTGATATGACAACTCAGCTGATTTCTTCCAATCTGGAGCTCCATTCACTATCTACTGGACGACTTCCAAGAGTTGTCACAGCTAATCGAATGCTAAAGCAAATGCTTTTCAGGTAACGGAATGGGTTTCTTCTTTATTAACAATGCTGTTGAAATCACTAGATAGTATTTAAGCTCCTGTGAAGGAGCATCCTTCCTCAGCCTAGTTAACCTTCATCATAAGAATTTAGGAAAGATTTAATAATTGCTCTTTGCTTCATAGGTATTTGAACTGAGATGGAAGAGAAATCAAGTCTATGGTGTTTTAGAGAATTGATGCTATAGTTGTACGGTGTTGCTAGTAATAGATGCAAAAATAGAAGACCATTAGCTTAATAAACTGTTGATCACACCCATGAAAACTGATGTGTATCTCTGTGGCAAGATGGTTGGACCAGTAATAATCTTGTAATGTGCAAGCTTGTAAAATTGAGACTTTCATATGGCTTGTAATAAAATCACTACCTTAAAATGTATTTTATTTTCAAAAGAATAAAGTGTTTAACCATTTGAAGCTTACAGCTGTTAATATAGAACTCTGCTGGTGGTATAGTGAGATAAATGAGTAAAATGGTTTGAAGTTGTACTGCAGTTATCTTAAGATTTTATTTGGTTGCTTGACTGATCAGACTATTATTGTATGGCAGTTGAACTTTCTAACTGGCAGCATGACATAGAACATCCCCTTAGATTGAGGGCATGCTCTTCAAACTCCTAAGTATTCCAGTACTGTTTAGTACTGTCTTTTGCAGAAGTAAAAAATGCTGTTGAAAGAGAAGGAAAGAATGAAATGAGTGTATTCAGTTAAAGATATTGTTCAAGCTATTGGAAAGTCTCCTGGAAGGTGAAATAAAGCAATAAAAAGAAAATGCTTTGTGCAACCAAGTGACCTAGATAAATTGCAATAATTCAGCTCAGTCACTTAATGCTGTATTGATGGGCAGTTTGCCTTTTTTAAGTGTGTCACAAAACAATAAATTAAAAAGTTAAAGCAGCCAAGAACATCTCACAGGGGAAATGAAGGAATACATCTTCTTTGAAGTCTCTAAATAAAAACTTAATTGCAAATAGAGGAATTTCATTTAAGGCTTGAAAACTAATCTGAATTCTCTCCCTGTTAGCACAAATGTATCATCCAGCCTGCTTGCTGTTCGGCTGGGACACTGAAATATACCATGTTTTTAGTAAATTTCTTAATTTAAACTGTTGGTCACAGATAGTAAAAGTAGTCTTTCTGTTACAGAGATGTTCCTGGTGTAATCATGGAAAAATTCTCAAATGCGTACATTGTGTTAAAAAGAACCACAGCTTTATTGTGGACTTTCAGATTCACATATAAACATTTCTCCTAGGTATCAAGGCTACATTGGTGCTGCCCTGGTTTTAGGGGGAGTAGATGTCACGGGACCTCACCTTTACAGCATATATCCTCATGGATCAACTGACAAACTGCCTTATGTTACCATGGGTAAGTGATACTCCCTCAGTATTGTAACACAACTGACTGGTAAAAAGTGTGAACACTTCGAATTATTATTTAACGTGTTTTTACTTAAATTCCATTGCTTGCTGGGAGCTGTACAGACCTTAGACTTCGAAGATAAAGTTGTACCCTTATTTGTGACGCAGGTGCACTATTCTGTTTTGCTTCTAACACTTGGAAAAACATGGGCTATTATAATACCTAATCTAAGCTGCCAAAAAACTGGTATTGGGAAAGTTGCTCTGCATGTTCCCCAGCATACCTTAAAGCAAGAGAATTGTGGGAGTCCCAAAAACTTGCTGGGGAAAAAAAAAATCTCCTTAGAAACTTGATTTGCAGATAGTCCTAACTCATGGTTCATAGAACATCTCACTTGAGGGATTACATTCTGCCTCAAGTTTTTCTGTAGTTTCATTAGGAAAAAAATGTGCCTTGCTTCTCCTTTGGGACTGTTGTATTTCTGTATTTCTTGCTAAGTAGCAGCTGTATTTTACTCAGGAAGGTGCTTCCTTGTAGTGAAGCCACACCTGGTTTACTTGCTACATATAATAATCGGTCTTAACTACTGTATGGAGCTTCTCAGTAAAGAAGTTTAATTCTGTCTGTTGTCGAGGTCAACTTGACATTAGTAGCCCACCATCAGGTTAAGTGTTAGTACCCCAACTTTTCGGTCTATGTAACATTTTTTGTAGTAACAATAATTTGAGCTGTATGTACATGCAATTCTGTGTACATCTTGTTCAGTTTTGAATTGGGGAGTGATAATTCTGAAAGCTGAAACCACAGATTTTTGCATGCTTTTCTGGTATTCAGGATATATTGTAAAATACAATCTTGGTAAATATATTCTAATTTGCTGTTTTTTCAACTATAATAAGAATATGGGATAATTTGGAAATAAGTACTTTGTGGTAGCAGAATGCAAATCATAGGCAGCTTTTCTGGAGTGTCTTGTCTTTCTCGCTTAAAAAGCAGAAACATTGTTCCATTACTTCCCAGTTCTACAGAAGAAGGTGAAGAATACCTACAGGAGAGAATTAAACTTCTGAACTCCTGAGTGCTGCTTTGCAGTAGCAATAATGTCACGTTGTGAAATGGCTCTTGAGCATATACTCATTTACCTGTGATCTTGCTAAACAACCCAATTAGAGGCCTCTTATGAGTATAATCAGGAAGACATTGTATTACAGAATACAAAATCTTCATTCATCTCTAATCTTGATTTGTGAATTTAACTTGTCATTCCTCCTGTCTTCTAACTATTCTTTGTCCATGGTCTCTAGGTAAAATTGTTTCTTTAGACATCTTGTTCTGTTTTTTAATTATTGAGGGATGCTTGGAGAGTCCCTGTGGTAAGAATCCTGAAGTAGTAAGCTGTAATAAGCTTTGTGACTTGCAGGAGAGCCTTAGTGGTGACCATTATCCTAATTTTTTTTTTTCAGAAGGGAAATAACACATGCATTGTTGAAGGGAAAGACACACATCTCGAAATATTATGGAACTTGCCCAGTCTTTGGCAAAGGGAGTATTTTCAGTAGTAGTGTCAAGCTTGTTCTGGTTAGTTCTGAATTCTTTTGTGATTTATAGGCAGTAATCTGGGAGAAAAGGGTAAAAAATAGTAAGAGGCACCACTGAGACACTGGTAAGAAATTAAACTAGTGCCTTCTGAGCTAATAATATTCTTGCGTGGTTTCATCTGTGGCTTTTAAGGTTAATGTTCTACTGAGAATGTCATATATCTGGAAAAAGTAAAATTCCAAACATAACCAGGGTCACAATTATTTTTGCTCTTTGATCACTCAAGAAGTCACTGTATCAGACTTGTGTTTCATTTTGAAGACTTGGATGATTTTAAATTAAAGCTTGGTTTCGGTAGAGCTATAGAAGTGTAATGTAGAGTCCAAATAAATATATCAGAAAAGAAAATAGATCTGAAAATAAAGTGTGTCAGATTAGTAAATCAGATCTAGCCTATGTCTGATGCAGCTTTTATGCAGACTCTGTGATGGGAGAATACAACTTTACTTTTAGTTAATCTTTTTCTGTTCATGGTTGGCATCTCTAGATAAAACATGTACTTATTATATTCTTGGAAATATTAAAGGTTTTTCTTCTGGATATTTGCACTGCTGAAACAGTGCAGCTGTTAAACTGAATCATCTGGTTAACTCTATAGTGAGAACTGTGATTAACTTGCAGAAATTCTGCAGAGGTGGTATTGGACCAACAGATGGTGCCATTATCCCAGGAACTGGCAAATTACTGACTTGGCAAATAAAATCCATGTAACAGTCATGTGATGTCATTGTTTAGCCTTTGATATAAAAAAAGTAAATGTCTGATTCTTACAATTGCCTTATACCCAATGTTGTAGTTAACTGTAAAACTATAACTGACTCTATACTGATAGCTGGTAGTAGTTGATTACCAGTTTCTGTTATGTACATGTTTACTTCTGTGCCTATGTTTTAAAAGCTTTAAAGTATGGCATTTCTCAAAGTCCTGGCCACTCAAAAAAAAACAGAATAAGTTCAAACAAATAGAAAGTAGAATATCAATGGATTAAGTTCATTGTAGCTTAAACTTTGATTTGCTGTCAGCTGTACCAGGTCTGTGTCTGGTGATTACATGTTACTTTTGTCCACGCTGTCAAACAAAGCTGTTCTCAGCATAAATGTCCTTTACTTTTCTACACCTGGTACACTGGTACTTTCTCCAGTGCAGAATAAGTTCAAACAAATAGAAAGTAGAATATCAATGGATTAAGTTCATTGTAGCTTAAACTTTGATTTGCTGTCAGCTGTACCAGGTCTGTGTCTGGTGATTACATGTTACTTTTGTCCACGCTGTCAAACAAAGCTGTTCTCAGCATAAATGTCCTTTACTTTTCTACACCTGGTACACTGGTACTTTCTCCAGTGACACAGATATATTTTAGTAAAAAGATTTGCTTATGCGTATAAATGAAAGATAGAACTGAGACAGCAGAAAGTGTCAAAGGTCAAATTGGAGATAGTGGCTGGAATTTTATTTTTATCTTATTTACACTAATCTATTGTTTGTTGTTTTTGTTTTTTTCCCCAGGATAGGTATTTTTGGCCAGTTAATTTCTGGGAATTCAGTATTAAATAGGAAAGGCTGTTGAGGTGTTGCGTTTTTGTTTGTTTTAATGTTCTGGAGTGTGTTTGTGGATGGACAGAGTGGTGTCCTCCCTTGCAAGGGGGATTTAAAAGTTACTCAGTGCTTACTCAGGAGTGAAAACATCAAATTAAACTGTTTATGCTGACAAAGGACAAAATTGGATTTCAGCAAATGATGCAAGATTGTCTGATTGCTTGGCTTGTCTAGGAAAGCTTCTGGCCAAGACTTATAATGAAATGCATGCATAAAATTAAAGCACTTGAAGTCTGTAGTTCAGCTTTTGGAAACAGTAAGTATGTTCCAGTCGTCTCTAGTGGCTAAAGCTAGTCCCCTGGTACCAGTGTTGCTTCATATTCATAAATCAGCTCTTCATGCGTTGGCAATGTTGTCCTGCAGAGCAGGCACTACCACTGCTGAGACTCAGCCCCTCAGCCAGGAAGCAGGGTGAAAAATGATCCCAATCGATGGGGCTGTGGAGATCACCGAATTTTTGCCTAGAATGAACAGCAAATTCAATAACAATGAGTGCGTGTGAATAAATGCCCTGTCAGTGAGCCCTGACACTGATGGATTAGGAAGTGCTAAATGTTACTCTCTCAAGGCTCTGTACATCCTCCAGTGTGGCAGGCTGAGGTAGCGAACAGGTCCTTGGGTGTTGAAAATGGACTGTGCTTAGCAATAAGAAGTTGTCTTCAGTGAATGTTCTGCGAAAAGTCTAGTTCACCTGTTCTAGAAAAGCTACTGCAGTTGCAAAATACGGTGGAAATTATTGTTGGCTGGAGTTTCTGCTATCAATAATTATCTTTCACTTTAAATCTATACTGAAGTGGTACAACTCCTCAAGTAAACACCAAATGGGATTTTTAAAGTGAGTTTATTACAGTTGAGTCCAGAAAACTTTTGAATAATTTAGTTGTGAAAACTTATGAAATGACCAATGTTTCTTAAAGAAGAAAAAAATAAAATCTCTTAGGGTCTCATAATTTCCCTGGTTCATGCTAATTATCAGACTGAAAAGCATTTGCCTCAGAATACAGCTCTGCATCTCAGTTTCTTTAGTTCTTTATAACTTGTTTGGCAATCAATATTTTTATATATTTAGATGCTAGATTAATACTACCTGAATATTTGTTTCTAAAGTGTAGCTTACTGAAAATGTATGCAAAGTAAATTCTTTGGAATTGATACGGCATTTTTTCTTGATGATTGTGTTTCCAAGGTTGTTGAGGTGTAACCATTCATAGCAGTTAGTGGTTTTAAAAAATCTAGCTGAAATGTTGGGTTTTTTCCCCTGAATGTTATGTAATACAAATACATGATGACTTTACCAATTACACTTTGTTTTAATTATCCTTATTGCTCATACACAGAACAGTTGTAAACTTCCAACATTTAAAAAAAATTCCAACAAAAAAAAGTTCCTATTTCTGCATTGGTTGCGTGTTGTTAAGATTTCAAACTGAAGTTATCTATCTAAGATAAGTATCTGGTTTGGTATTACTTTGAATCTGAGCTCGGTGAAAGACACTATTTAATGACGCATTATCTCTCAGCTTTCCTGAATGTTTTAATAGATTTGAGGTTGAACTGCTGCATCTTAGCAATGTTGAATCCTAACTGGTAGCGACTTATATCAGTTATTATGTGTATGAGGTGGGAATGTTTATCCCTAATTAATGGATGGTGTTTTGCAATGTTTGGATTTTATCTTTCTCCAGACATTATGTTTGGGAATTGTTAAGCTTGTTTCTACATAAAGGCAAAGCATGCTTGTTAAAAATGAATTATTGGTGGGCACTGAATACATGGACAAGAGAACAGCTGTTTCCCCACATACAAACAAGTTCTCCATAGACCCTTAATATCTAAGTTTTCTGTGCTTTTATAGGTACTGCAATAAGAAAACCATACTTCCAATGTTTACTTAAGTTCACAGATTTTATTGCCAGCTCTCCTGTTACAATGCATAGCTTTCACAAGTTGGTTGAACTACTTGGAACATTGTGGGGTTGTTTGGATCGTATGTGGAATTTGACAAGTAGAGGGAAGTTGGTGTAATTGGATAGTGAAGTTCGCAACTGTGCTCATGACCGACTGTCCACGGCTGGTTTTCTGCATTTCTGCATGGACGGTCAAGTGACGGGGTTTCAGTCCACCAGCAGTGCAAATAAGGGGATTGAGGGGTTTTTTTAGTTAATGTGCTACAGGTGAATATATGCACATCATTAGTATTTTTCAAAACAGTTCATATTGCTGTTGTCAAATGGAAGATGATTTGTTTTGATACAGGAACTCAGAGGTATACTTCTATTTGTGTTTCTAAAAATACAGTGTTTACATCTGGTGCTAGTAAGAGTAAAGAATTTTCATTGTGCTATTTAAGATTACAAAAATCTGTTCTTTCAGAGAATGCTTAGCTGTGCTGTGAGACTTTTGCTAGGCATTTTTTCTTTTAATGCAAGCTTATAAAACTTACGTTTAGGATTTATAAGCAGTAGAGGAAAAAAACCCCTGAATTTATTAAGCTTTTCCAGCTTTACTTCCTGTTCTGTTAGAACCTCCTTGAGACTGTGGTTTTTAGATGTAAAATGTCTACACACAGGTTTAAATAAATTAAGACTTCAACAACTCTCTGAAAACTTACATTATAGGACTGTCTGCATTTATTTAAAATTTATATTGAATTTGGCATTTATTTGCATCTTGGTAATATAGTGAGATAAATAATTAACAGTACAATTCTTTATGTATATAAGATTTCATGTAATGTAACATAAGGTTTCCCCGCCTCTTCCCCCCTACCTTTTTCCTTTTTCTTCTTTATAAGTCTACTGAGTTCTGGCCCATAGGTTCTTTTGGGAACTTCTTTTAAAAAGGAGCTAGAGGAATGAATCCAGTCTGAGCCATGTATGAGATTATTGCAGTATTTGCATTATTGATAACTTTTATTTGTCAGTAGAAGTCTTAAGAAACTAAGACTACTTTTTCTTAGCTCAGTAGCTTTAATGTAGTAATTTCTGTCAGATATTACCTTTTATACTTTCATTCTTGCACATTTTTTAGTCTTTATACTCTAATTTTTTTTTCAAAGAACCCTTATCCAAGGGTGAGATTGTTTTCTAGTTTTGAGACTAGGTTGTTTTCTAGTTTTCCCATTCTGCTTATGGTAGGCCTTCATTTGTGTGTAGTAAGAATGTGGTCTTAGTTTGAGACCGTATCTCAGATTTTTTCCCCCCCCCCCCTCATTTGAAATGTTCCTATGTCATTCCACAAGAAGAACTATTTTATGGTTCAAGTCCTGTATTTGTTTTGGAACACACCTTATTTTGACCTTGTTTGAAGGATCAGTAAAATTCCTTTTATTTGTGATTTGTTCTGTGATATCAGCTCTTTTTATCAGCAGTTCATGTTCTGCTATTAGTTGCTTAAAAATCTTCTTTATTCCCAGTTTCAGCATTTAAAAAAATGGAGTCATGTATTGCTCCAAGGTGTAAATGAATAGTCATTGCCTGTAATACAAGTACACACTTAGAGTGTCCTACTGCTTTTAGATGTGATGTATTTGGTACTGTAAAGGTAATGATCCTCAACCACAGCAATATTCTGTAACAGGAATATCTGTCATATTCATTGGGATTACCATGTTCATTGATTTGTGTCTGTAAAGCTGCTGTTCCTACCCTTTAAATTTGATCTATAATTGGACCTCCTTAAATGGTTCAGATAAGGTAGTCTGTATTTTCTCAACAGTGTCACTGTCAGCTTCTCCTTTTTCATTATACATTCAGCAGACTTGATAAAATCAGCAGGACACCTCATTTGAAACTGTTTAATCGCTGCCTTTTTCTTTCACTAAACCATTGAGGTGGTCAAGCGATATACACAAATCATTTTAAATAGAAAATACGGCTTTCTCTGTGACCCAGCTAAACAGATAGCAGTATGCAAAACAAGTTAAAAAGTAATAAATGCCAAAAAATCTTCTAATTGGAGTAAAAAATTGCAGGTAACTTTATTCACTCCCCAAAAGTAGCGCTCTCTGAAATATGGTTAGGGCCACAGACAGACAAGATATCTTCCTGAAGACTCACTCTTTCTGAACAAAGTAGTATCATACTGCTTTTCATATTAATTTACAGAAAGCACATTTATAATGCCTGCAGTTACAGTGCATTGGGTAGAGATGGCTTCTGTTCCATTACTACACTTGCACTGCATCCTTTAAGACAAGTAATGTTAAACTCACGTTTTCATGTCTGTCGTTTTGTCTATTCGGCTGTTATTGTTCAATGTAAAAATAATGGCACAAAGTAAATGCATAATAAACTGTTTTAAAGTAGATACGGGAAATAACCTGATGGCAGCAGCCAGCTACCCTATTACCATTGCTAGTTTACTCATCCCCATGCGTAAAGGTGACTGTGCCAGGGCAGCTCGTTAAAGCAATCTATTCATTCTGAGTGTCTTAGTATTAAGTGACATACCCTCTAACGTTGCCAGGCACAAAAGTGGGACAGGAGAAATGAAGGAGTAGGAATTACAAACTGTGGCACTAAATACACTGGCTAAATAAGTGTCCTAATTTTGTTACCGTAGGTTCTGGATCATTAGCAGCTATGGCAGTGTTCGAAGATAAATACAAACCGGACATGGAGGTAAGAAACTTTATTTTTAAAGCTCAGTGTTTCTTCCCTCAATAATTCTCATGATCGTAAGAATTTAAGAGGTTTGAATTCTTAAAGTTAAATCTGCTCTAGTTTCCCTGCACTTAAAATGTACTAATGTCAGCTTACTGCAAAGCTGTGAAAGGTGATGGGTAAAATAAATTTAAAGAAATAGAGCTTCTTGCAAATTTATGTATGGAAAAACTTGTGTGATTTGAATGCAGGTGAAAGCTTTAAAAACATACAACTTACTGATATAGTTGACTTCAGGAATTCAACAGCCCTTGCATAGTCAGTATTGCTGTTTTTCCTTCAGTAGTCAGTCTTCTCTCTCTCTCTCTCTCTCTTGAAAAGAGAATGCATTATTGTAAAAGCAACAAAAAAAGTTCAAGTAGTTTATGAAACCAATTAGATTTCTGGTTGATTGGGTATGTTCAGAACTAGTAATTGGATTTTTAATATCTACTTAAAAGCTGATTATCAGAAGATTTATAAGGTTGTGGGTTGTTTGTGTTTTGCTGATGATAAAAAATTGAAAAATGTTTGGTTGTTCATTGTAGAGAATCATTCAGAGCAGCTAAAAGCTGGAGTGTCATGGTTAAGATCAGAATAAGTTATTCAGTTATTTTTTATGAATGTATGCAGTACATTATTATTGTGTTATCTATAGTATTTCCTTACACTTGGTTACACCATGTTCAGTGCCTGATAAACTCAACAGTGAAAAATCAGTTATCTGCAGACAATTGATTAAAATAAACCCAAAACAATTAAAGGGCTTTCTGTGACCATATTTTGTAAAATGCCTCAGTAATGTCAAGCCCTCTTTTAAACCACATTAATCTCTGCAGATTTTCTGTGAATGCTCCTTCTGATTCCAACTGATTAATACTTCCACAGTAAAGAAAAAACTGAGAATTGAACACAAAATTGAAAATTGAACCCATTAAAACTGACTTGTAACACTAACAGTTGCAATTATTTCAGCCTAAAATGCAGTATAACAAATCTTATAGCTATTTACTATCACTGAATAATGTGGAAAAGTAAAAAGTTGATTTACTTCAGAAAAGGTCTTTAGATGTTCCTCGTCTTTGTACTGCAACTGCTGTGGGTCATTTCCTCCCCTTCAAATGTTGGCATGACTGCTGTATATTTTCAGGTGATCATCCCATAAGTCCACTGAGTTCCTCTCTAAAATCAATTAATTAAATCTAAATTTTAAAGTGATGTGTCATACCCTGTTACATCTCCTGAAGACGTGATGTATCAGTAGATTTGGGGGAGGGAGTGATCCAAACTTGTTTTGAGATGTTTTCTAGTAGTTAAACTGCTTAAGAGTTAGTAATAAGCAGTTTTCCAATTATTCCTGGAACTGGCTCCTTTTCTGTCAGTATATATGAAATAGTTGTAGGTGTGCAGTAAGATCAGGATTCCTGTGTTGCTGCAATATCGGAAGACACTGGACTTCTGGCCTCTAGTATATTTATAAATGCTATTGGAAATATTGGAATATTTTTAATAGGCACTCAAGTTTCTTCCGTAAGTAGCATTACACTAGATGACTGATGGAAAGAACTGCTAGATAGAGGTAGACTCTCTACTTTTTTTTCTCTCCCCTCGTGCCGCTGTAAGAACGACAGAGTCTTTTTCCAGCCTCTTGTGTGACTGTGCACTTGGCATGTCTGCTATTCATACTGAAAACATGGACTACAAATCCTTGGAATTAACAGCTACAGCATAATAGTCTGCTTTCAAAGACACAAATGTCAAAGAGCTGTGCTATGGAACTGAAAATTTCATCTTATTCTCAGCTAGTTTTCAAGCTTGTATTTTAAGTCTTTCTTTGTGTAAGAGCAACAAAAAAGGCACCAAAAATTGGTAAATCTCCAACTTTTCCTATTTAGAAAGGTCATCCTAATTAAATTGTCTTCATATACAACCATAAATGGCAGTAGATATTCACTCTTACAACAAGCATGTAGAAATGCAGCCTACCAATTTGTTGAAATATATATTTAGATCTTTGAGACTTGCATGCACCTTAACCCTTCATTTGTTTTTACTAGATATTCTGTTATCTAATAACAATTTAGTAATCCTCCTAACTAAACCAGCGAAGTTTCAGGTGCTAAAGCTCGACTGTACTCTTAAACACTTCATACTCTGTTATGCCTGCCAGCTGAAAATATTCACCTTTTAAGTCAGATGTGGGTTTTTTTTCAGTAAAGTAACAAAATAACAGATGATATTTCTACTGAAATTAAAACAAATTAAATCTGAAGTACACAATATATATTTTACATAAAATTTGCTATGAAATGGCAATGGTGATAAAATTCCTGGAGATTAATTTAATAAAATGGGTTGAGGATTAATATTTTTCTGTCAAGATCAATACTACTTTCTTTTGCACTAATTGTCAGAATATCTTGCTAGGGCTACTGGAGGGTAGTCGTGTGCTTCACATCACAGAAAAATGATTCAAAGGCAAACTGTCCTGCACCCTCTGGTATCGACTTGCAAATTAGCATCTGGAATGTAATTAAACAAGCTTAATGAAAGTAGCAGCTGAATACTAGTGGAAAAGACAATCAGCTTTTTTGCCTCTGATATATATTCTGTACTATTGAAGCCGATCACCAAACACATCGTGTGAGCACAGTTAAAAAAATTAGCATTTATTTGAAGAATAGGAACTGTTTTTCATTCTGTTATGCTTTTGGCATGCACTGGTGTCCCATGAGAGCCATGCCACAGCAGATAGTGCACAATATTTATAAATCCGTGACAGGCAATAATAGCAACTTGAAAAATTCTTTTGCTAGAATTTCAAGTTGAGAGCTGCCAAAAGCTGAGAGGATCAAATCTGCAGTGGCAGCTGCTGTGCCCTACAGTTAGAATTGTAGACTTTGAAGATGCTCAACTTAAAAAAAAAAAAAAAAAAAAAAAAAAAAAATTAAAAAAAAAGACTGCAGGCTTAGCCAATTTTTGCAGGTTTCTAGAGCCCTGGCTCTCTGCCTTTTGAAGATGAGTTGCTGAAGCTTCTACCACTGCCTGAGGCATGCTAACACCAGCAGGATGTGTTTTTTCCATAGACTTAGTGTGTCTTCAGATTTAAGTAGCACATGCTTTATCAATGTCAACTGTGATGGTCCTTTCCCTGGTTGCAATGCCAGGAGATGATCTTTACCCAACATCCTTCAGAGAAACTGCTAAGATAGATGGTGACGTACACGAGTACCACTTCTGCAGTCTGATTTATGGAGGCATGTTTCATTATGAAGCAAGTGCTGGCCTCTAGAGGAACCATTATAGATTGCTGAAGATGTGAACACTTTCAGCCCTGAAGGCCTGTAGATGCTTCAAAAATGTAATGCCAAGCACCTAACTATTGTGGAACAATATTAATCTGTCATGCGGGCAGCTATAGATCTACTTTAAAAAACGTAAGTGGAAGAACAGCACATCTAATAGTGTTTTGAGCTTAGATCTTTCATTGCAGCCAATTTTTCTCTCAATAGAGTAGCCACACGGTTTTTAAACCTTACAGTCAGATTTTGCAAATGTATTCGTGCCTTCTGGTGTTAAACAATAGTAAAGAAATACTCTGAGTCAGTGGATATGGAAACCATATGATCTGGGAAAAAAATGTCTACAGTATTAAACGCTGAAATTCTGGGTTTATCTGTACTGTGGTTGTTGAATTCCTAGGGAGATTGGGGGGGTATTATATATTTTATTCCAGTATTTGATTTCTGTTGTTTGAAAAGTAGAAGCTTTTTGTCTGTAGAAGAATTACTTGATGTGCTATGTTGTAGCCTTCTGACAAGAGCTTCACGTTTAAGCAAGAAAACAGGCTGCTTGTAACTTCATTTCTTTTCTGTGTTTCATCAAAACAGCCAAGTTTAATAAAAAGAGGATCCAGAAGGAAGAGAAGCGGTAGAAGCCACAGAAGGCAGAACTGTTGCAGGGAAAGGGAAGTAAATCTTTGTGTAATGAGTTCAGGGGCACCAAATAGGTGGGAAAAAAAAATGGAAGGAGGTAGTCTGGCAGATATTTAGTAACTATTTCTAAAATAGATCATCCCAAAAATGTGACATTATATTTACAGTCATTTATTATACCACTTCTTTTAGTGTGGCAGGAAATCAAGTGGAACTGAATGAAAACAAGATGACTCTGGAGGAGTAGGAACATTTAAAAATAAGAGGGGGCTGTTCTGACTATATTCCACTTGGAGCGCAGGCATTTACCCTCCTGCAGCAGCTATGCTGTAGGAGAGCAAAATGCAGTTTTTCAGACCAGAGATTCCTTCACCTGTTGGCCAGGTTTGCTTTTGTGATCATTCTGCAGTGATTTCTTTTGCTACTTGTTTGGTTTTGACAAACATGGGTTAGGGAGCAACCTTACGAGCAATTCAGCTGGCAGATTTGGGTAATCCTCTGTAAAAGGAGAAATGAGTGGCAGACAGGTGGAGTTGGAGGTAGTAACCTTTTTCAGTTAATAGTTGCAGTTGTCAGAGTAGGTGTGTTCACAAGGAAATCATAGGAAGGAGGAGGACAGGAAGCTGCAAAATGTGTAGACTCAGGCTCTTCTGGTCCACAGTTTTGTTTCTGGCTTTGTGACTGATTTTTGAGGTACTTTTGAGCAGCTCCATATTCCCAGAGTGAAGAAGCTGAGGCATAAAGAATGCCTTCCTCCGGATGCTCAATGTGCACTGAAGGTCTTTGCTGTATCAAAGTGGAAAGTAGTCTAAATTCAGCTTTCACTGTATACCTCGTGTTTCAATAAAAAATACATCAGGCATACTACAAAATATTAGTGACAAAATAAAATGACAAAAACATGTCACTTTCTTCCATTTTTAAACAGCTGACATACAGATCATTCAGATGTTTCTGTGCTCATATTTCCTACTGTCCCTCAATATGGTGATTTTTTTTTTATTAACTACTGACAATACTGAGCTATTTTTGGAAACTGTCAAA